CGACAATGTAGCATCAAACTCAATCATTGATTTATTTTGTAATAATGCAACCTTTCTGCATCAATGTGACACGAAAACGAGCCGAGGGTGGGACTTAAACATGACATATTCTGGTCTTAAATCAAAGACAATTATGTATAAATATGTTTGAATTTATAATTTTCAAACAATGTCGATCCAATCAGAGATGGATCAAGGAGGACAGATGGGGCAATCACCCCTTAGAAATTTAAAATTACTATATATTTTAGATTTTTTTCTTATGTATTTTCTAATGAAAATTTATTTTTGCCCCTCATAGAATTTTATAAATTTAAGTTCGTCTCCCTAAGTTCAAATTCGTCCCCCTAACGTAAAATCTTGCGTCCATCCCTGGATCCAACTAAAACGTATTTTCTAAATGGATAGTTTATTGATTATAGGGTATTGTTTTATTAAGTCTCTTGACTATTTAAAGTTTCATTAACTATGGAGTGTTGCTCGATTACACGTGAAAAATTGCGAGCATAGTTCCTCGATTATAGGGTATTGCTTTATTAAGTCTCTTGACTATTAAAAGTTACAAAATGGTCATTCGACTATGGAGTGTTACTTTTTTTAGTCCCTCAACTATTAAAAGTTACAAAATGATCGCTTTGCTATTCATTATGTTCCAGACTCGTCTTTTTCCGTTAAAAAAATAACGGTTATTTAAGTTGGATGTTGACATGATGACTGAGACATGATAGTCGTTTGAGATTTTGGGATCAAATTTTATTATATCACAGTCAACAAGTTAACGTTCAACTCAAGATATCGTCCATTTTTTAACGAAAAAGGACGAGTTTGTAATATAATGAATAGTGGGGTGACTATTTTATAACTTCTAATAGTCGAGGGACTCAACAAAGCAACATTCTATAGTCGAAGAACCATTTTGTAACTTTTAATAGTCGAGAGACTTAATAAAGTAACATCTATAGTCAGGAGACCATTTGCGTTGTTTACCCAAAATTTAATTATAATTATAAAAATCTTTATTTAAAAGGTAATTAATCTTATTATATGTAGCAACAGAGACCTTATTAAAAACGAATTAAAAGTTCAATGACTATTGTAAGTTTCAAAAGTTAGGTGACCAAAATGTAAATGTACTAAAAGTTCAGGGACTATTTGTATACTTTACCCTTAGTATTATTATATGGTAATTTTGCTTTTCAGATGCTTTTATACAATCTTTAAATATAATTATAGGATTAAGGGATTTGTAAACAATTTTTTATCGCTCCAACTATAATCATGAATTGAATATATTTTTAAGAATATATTAATTTACATAAAATATTTTCTTTAACTTATAATATTATTATTAATACGAAAACTAGTAATTATAAAATTAGTGACTAATTTTAATTAGTTCTAAGAATCCAAAACAAGTTGGCCCCTTCTCTGGTCACTATAACCTTGAAATATGGGCCCTTAAACGATTGTTAAATAGAGCAGTTAAGTTTTACAATAAGGCCCAGTGGAGATGACCAATGCACCCGAGGTTGCCCATCATGCATGGGAATAGCCATGCAAACACGCCGTCTAGCAGCAGCAGCTATGGCTTCCTGTTGCATTCTCCGAGCTTGATGAATGACACCGTCATCATTAACCTGCACCGACTCAAAAACAAATCTGTTCCGGCGATTCCACAAACACCACAGCCCCAAAGAGAAGATCCCAATCACTACCATCGATTGGGAAGTAGGAGGGCTCCTTAAGATTGACGAACAACCAATCGATCAGATCCATATTGATGAATTCATCAAGCAAGTTTGGCTTAATGAGGCTAGACCACACAGCAAATGCAGCTGTGCACGAGCGGAAGACATGAGAAATCGACTCCTCCCCAGCATCACACAATGCACACCGAGGGTTGTCTGCCAAGTGACGCTGTACTCTTTCAGCGTTGGTCATTAAGCTGTTCCTGGCCATAAACCAAAGTAAGCATCGCACGCGCTGAATCCCTCTATATTTGGAGATGAGATTCCAAATATCATGAGCATTTTCACTAATAAAACCTGAACGCTTAGAATAAGCACTTGCAACTAAGAAGCGCCGGTTAGGACTTAAACGCCATGCTGGCCGATCCTCGCCACCATAAGTCATAGGCGGCTTAACCTCTGCCAGCTGAAGGAGTACAAGCTGAGGGAGCAAACTCCGAAGGATCTGTCATTGCCACTCACCATTGGCATCCACAATCGAGTTAACAGGAATAAAGCTGTTCGGCACAGGATACTGACAAAAATTCTGAAGTGGACCAATATCATTTAACCAAGCATTCCTTCCAAAAATCAATGCCAGATCCATTACCTATACTCCACGTGATGCTGCTATACACCTCAGGCCAAACCATTGCCACTCCTCTCCAAAGCCGAGAGCAAGCAATAGTTGTTAGAGACTTCGGTGGCAAATCACTAACTTTATATTTGGCTCGCACAACCCAGACCCATAAATCATGTTTCTCCGATACAAGAAGGAAAGCTAACTTCATAAGGAACGCCTCATTCTGAGAAATCATACGTCTTAGACCAAGTCCTCCTTGATTATTTGGATGACAAACCTGCTCCCAACCAACCAGATTACACCCCCTCTTGGCATCGATATGGCCCCAGATAAAGTTCCGAGTCAATCTTTCTATCTCCAATTTGCATTGCGTATGAGGGGATTGAATTTAAAACTGACTTCGCCAGGGTTAGTCGTCCCACAAAAGATAATGATTTAGCTTTCCAACTGGCCAATCTATCTCGAACCCGTTGAATTAAGTACTAATAAGTACCCCGTGTAACGCGCTTATGTAGTAACGAAACCCCTAAATATTTTCCAAGGTTGTCCACCTTGATCATCGTTTGCACGATTTGGATTGCGATCACACCGGACATGAGAGTTTTGAAGCTGAGAAATCAGTGATTAGCTTGATAGCCTTAATAAATCTTGATAGATTAGGTTGGTAACAGTCCCTTGCTATTGTCTCCTTATCTTTACAGGATTTAATGCAACCAAGATTGATGGTAATAGTGCAACTTACTCATCAACTTTTCTCCATTAACCTCTCCTGTTACTAATACCCACTTATCCACCTAATCAGTTTATCGATGATAATGGTAACCGGTTTAACTACGAACTCGCCGGTGCGGCAGATCTGAAATTTATCGATCCATAAACAACCACCTAAAATTAGTAACACAAGTTTACATTTTTAGCTATAAATATGTGATATAAAAGTACAAATAATTTTTTAATAATATGAAGGATTATACGATAATATTTATTTAGAATTTTTATTATAATTATAAATCTTATAAACACGGCTGGTCGGACCCAATGCATAATAACAAACTAAAAGTGGACTTTAATGTTAATGATTATAAAAGAATGTATCTAACTTGAAACTGAAAGTTGTTGGTTAGCTGATTTAATATCTGTTTCGTTTCTTTTTCTAACATTTTGGTGGCCGCAATTTGTTGGGTGACATGTGAGCATGGCACGCCAAAAGTCGCCCAGCTCATTGTCCCACGTCTATAAGTGGACTTTACCCTTTCTCATTTCTTTTTCGAACAATTTTTTATTAATTATTTTAAGAAAAATGAAAAAAAATCGTAAATTCTTCGAAATTCCAAAGAAACTATAAATCAAATAAAGATATATAAATATTTTATTATAATAAAATGATATAGAACACACAGATGAATATAAGAAATAATAAGACGATGAATATAAAAGTCACGACTATAAGTCGAGTCAATGATCGTTTTTTTATTCCGTCTCTGGAGCAATTTGAAAAAAGAAATGGACGAAAATTATTTCTTAATTACTACTGATGGGGAAATTGAATTTTATTTTCTAACATTTTTTTATTGAATATTACAGCACACGGAGAATTATGTCAACCTGCAGCACACCAAACCCGAAGGCCGCTAGGAGAAAGAAGAAAGGTGAAATTCTGTAAAAGGACCTTGTACTATGTTTCTTGTGAATTTAATCTCTGCCATTATAGTAAGGCTTAATACCAAAATAAGTGCCCAATCTACACCTAAATTCTCGAATAGGTTCTAAGCTATTTTTTGACCCATCCAGGTGTCTAACGTTACAAATGTTATCCATTTAGGTATACGGGCCGTCAACGACGTTAATTTCCCTGTTAAGTGACACGACTCACAACCAAGTATTTCAAAATTTTTATTTAAAATAAAAAAATAAAATTATATATTTAAAAAACATAAACATTTTGAAATAACACCAAAAACTTTGAAAACATTCATTTCAACCCTTAAACCTATGTCGACCATCGTCGTTTATCTCCCTCCACGACCAAAACCACTATGAAATCGTAACCGATTGACGGTGAATATTTTATACCTCGCGAACCCTGGGATGAAAATTACGATCCTACGCGATCTCGACGACCAATCGACGGCGTATGACTAGGAGGATGACAGGGACTACGTCGGCAGCGGTGGTCATGGCCGAAAAGGGGTGTGGTGGGTTAAGGATAGTATTTGATGATTTTAGGTATTTTGGGACTTTTTTATAATTTAAGAGAAATTAGGGTATTTTTATAAATATAATATTTTTAAAAAAATAAATTTTAAAATACCATATTGTGACATGTGTCACTTAACGGGAAATTAACGTCATTTATGGCCCGAACACCTAAATGAGTATCGTTTGTAACTTTAGACATCTAGACGGGTCAAGAAATAGTTTAGGTACCTATTCGAATTGAGGTATAGATTGAGCACTTATTTTGGTATTAAGCCTTATAGTAAAGGGACTAAATCAATAAAAACACTTTATATAGGGAGCTTTGGAGAATTGACCAACTACGTTGTAAAAGGGTAGACCATTGATCCTGCAAGAAGAGGTTTTTCCTTTTGTTTTTTTCTTATAAAATGACTAATAAATTGCCGGGGAAGTCCTGTAGATTCGCATAACTCTAAAACACCATTTTCTGTTAACCAATTATCGATCATTGTAAAGTCGCTTTCCCCAGTTTTCCCTTTTCAATAATTTGTTTATTTATTTATTTAATTTTTAAAAAGGAAGAGAACATTTTGATCTTTTCCATTCACTTGTCATCGAAATTATCAGAGACGCTCGTCATCTTCAACGATGCAGAAAATGCTTCACAAGAGCTTCAAGCCAGCCAAATGGTATATTCTTCTTTTTCTTCAATATTTTCACTCTATTAATGTTAGAGATTGTGATTGAAAACTGTTTGATCGACTCGAAAAGTTGATACTGTCTGATCGTTTGACTTTTTTTAAAAAAAAATTGAATTTTGGTTTGATGCAGCAAGACAGCTTTAAGGCTAGCGATACCGCGAATAAAGGTAATGAAGAACAAGAGGGAAGCTCAAGCGAAGCAGTTGAAGAGAGAATTGGCTCAGTTGCTGGAGTCTGGGCAAGATCAGACGGCTAGAATTCGGGTATTGAGTTTTGAATCGAAGTTTTCACCTTAATCGTGATTTTAGCTGTGATTCTTGTGTACCGATTCATGGCTTTTTTTTATTTTGCAGGTGGAGCATGTGGTTAGGGAAGAAAAGACTGTAGATGCTTATAATCTTCTTCAAATATACTGTGAACTCATCGTTGCACGTATGCCAATGATTGAATCTCAAAAGTATGTAAAATTACTTTCTTTCATTACTCTGTTTTTCGATTTTAGGACTGTAAATTGGATCAATTCGATATGAGAAACGAAAATTAGAACGGAAATGGCTACTTATATGTTCTCCGTTTCATTTAGTAGGATTTGAATACTTGTTTTTAGAATTTATAATATATGTATATTAGTATATACATAGCTTTGTGTTTATATAAAATTCTGAATTTATCAGGAGGTTGTGTTTTATGGTCATAGAGTTGCAGATAAACAAGCATGGATTGATGAATGCTGTGTGGTTAGTTCGTAGAGAGGAGAGGATGACTTTTTTTTACTGTTTTTGGTGTTCTAGTCGGATTATTTTTGTCTGTTTCTATCGATTTTCATAACTTATGGTTGTGTTTTACTGATCTGAATTGTTCAGAAACTGCCCTATTGACTTGAAGGAAGCGATTGCCAGTGTAATATTTGCATCTGCTAGGTGTGAAGATATACCAGAGCTCAAGGATGCCTCCAAACATTTTACAGCAAAATACGGGAAAGAATTTACTTCCGCCGCACTTGAAATGCGTCCTAACTGCGGTGTCAGTCGTACGGTGAGTTTATATGGAACATCTTCTCAAGAATAAACAATGGTTGAAGTGCAACTGACATTTGATTATGATAGTATTGACGGGTCCATACGTTGTTTCCTTTAGTTGGTCGAGAAGTTATCGGCCATAGCACCTGATGGTCCAACCAAACTCAAGATCTTGACTACAATTGCTGAGGAACACAACATCAACTGGGATCCTGCATCATTTGGAGCAAAAGAATCAAAGGTTTATGATGACAAGCTGGTAAGACTAGTATGGTTCAAAATCGATTATTTTTTGTTCAATGCGCCGACGTATGATCATGCCAAGTATCCTCCTTAGAGAAACATTCAATTCTGAAATGATTGTATGTTGTTGCTGTTTGTCCGATATTGAGTGATTTGCTCAACAACTAATGTTTTTTTCCATATAAATTTGCTTGTGCAGAATACAGAGGCTACCAGATTTTCATCATATCCTTCTAATGTCCAAGGTCCAACTAGTTCTTATGAGCAGAGACCTGCTAGTGTTCAAGTTCCTAATTACGATAAGGGGCCTCCAAGTGTTCGAGATACAAAACATGTCAAGAAAAACGATATGCCCTCGAGCTTTTCCGAGTACAGCTCTAGATCATCTCCTAAGAATTTTGGTTATTCAAACACTGGTGCTGATAATTTGATGAACCCTGAAACTTATTCTCCAAATTCGAAACCTCTTGGTATGTTAATAATTAGATTCAAACACGATGATTGTTAACCTAGTTTGTTCTTTCTCTGTTACTTACTAGTATAGATTTGGATGTTAGATTTTGAAGGAACCGGAAATCAAGGGTTTAGGCATTCATATTCTGGAAATGAGAGTGCATACTCTTCACCGAGGCAACATTGGAATATGAACTTCAAGGATGCTACTGCTGCTGCTCAGGCAGCTGCAGAATCTGCAGAGATAGCAAGTATGGCTGCCCGAGCTGCTGCTGAGCTTTCAAGCCGTGGAAATTTCACCCAGCAGTATTCAATGGAGTCACCGGTGTCGCCTCTTCATCGTATGAGGGAGGAGGAACCACGAAAGTATACTGGCTCAGCATCTCAAAATGAACGTCTTGGTAGAGATCCGGTTGATATATCCTTTCATGGAAGGAATTCTGGGAATTATGAACAAATTGACAGCTTCGAAGAACATGGCCGGGGGAGAGACAATGGAAATGTTTATAGTAACATTGTGAGGAGCAGTGATAACTCCGCTCATGGTTCGTTCAAGTCAACTGCATCTTCCTTCAAAGAAAAAACATCAGTGAATAACCAAACCGCGGATGCATATTCTCAAAGACACTCATTTCGACAAGTTCCGGTAGACCATTTTGCTGAAGTGAATTCGGCGAGAAAATCAGGTGAAAATGGTGATCATCAGAATGTCAGCGCCAGAGAACAATCAAGCTATTCTTATTCTCATTCTCAATCAAACAGTTTTACTGATGATCATGATGTCGCCTCTAATTTTAACCAGCTGAAGACGGAAAATGATAAGAAAAGCTCAGGGGAAAGCCGGATGCCATTTGTTACTGAACTGCATGATACAAAGAGTTCTGGTTTTACCGATTATCAGGAAGCAAGGATCAGGAAGCAATCAAGCCATTCTTCATCTCATTCTCATTCAAGTACTTTTTCCGATGATCATGATGTTGTATCAAATTTAAACCGTTGGAACTCGGGAGATAATTCCGGTGAGGATTCTTTTCTTCATAATGATAAAGGAAGCCTTCAAAGGAGCACAAAAGAAACAACATATTTTTTCAACAATGCCTCAGCAGTTTTTGATGACTATGTATCAGATAATAATGAAGATCGTTTTGATTCGGAGGAAGAGCACGACACACGTGAATTCAGTATGAACTTATCATCTCCTGGTCAAAGGTCACCTACTCGTCCATATACAAGAACAAATTCTCGGAGCATTGAGAAGAATGTTGATGGAAAGTCCATTTCAGAATCACATATTTTCTCGGAGCAGCGGTCAACTTCCGTCTTCTTTGAGAGTTCAGCCAGCTCTGCAGATCCTTCATTCGGAGATGACTTGCCGGCGGCTTTTGATGATTATGGCCCTAGTTCTGAAAGTGACGAAGAGATAGACAAATCCAAGTTTGTAAGGAGCTCCAAACCCAGTACAGGTAGTAATGTAAAGAATATGGATTCATACCAAGCTGAAAACAGTAATTTCGATTCACAGTCGGTTGAAGTCATGGAAGATACTGAACAATCTAAGGATTCTAGTCTGGAAGAAGGTATGAAATTGAATTTCGGGAACTTGACCGGTGGCCTGCGACATAAGGGTTATAGGCTTCCACCATATACAAATAGTCCACGGGCCGATGGTTTGCCATCTGTGGAGGCAGCCAATGGTGCATCTACTAGAACTAAGCAGTTTTCTCCTCCTGCAGCAGCCGAGGCTTCGGTTGGTTCGGTTTCTTTCAATCAAGAGCCATACACCAGGAAAAGTAATGATGAAGTGAACAGAAAATTCAGCATGAGAGCATCGAATACTCATGTCGATCCTAGTGATGATGACTCTGAGGAGGAGCGACCGAAACAGACTTCTACTAGCACTCAAGACCGAGTAAACCAAAGATCTAGCTTAAGGGGTGCTGTCCCACATTTTAGTTCAGGAAATAGTGATTCTGACGAAGACCTTCCTAAGAAAAAGGCTCCTACCGATACCGGGTTTTCTCGAAAGACAACGAAGGCCTCTCCTTCAAATTCACGGAGAAGCTCCAATCTTAAAGCCACTGCTTTCTCTGAGCCAAAAGTGGTTTCTGATTACAGTGGGAAAGGGAGTGGTGAAGTGAACGGAAAATTCAGAATGAGAGCATCAAGTACTCGTGTTGATTCTAGCGATGATGACTCCGAGAAGCGACGTAATCAGACTTTTAGCAGCACTCAAGACCAACAGAACAATACACCGAGCTTTGAAGAAAACAGGAGATCTAGCTTAAGAGTAGCTGTCACATATTCTGGTTCTGATGAAGGCCTTCCTAAAGCAAGTTTAAATGCTTCTTCCAACACCGGTTTTTCTCGAAGAACGAAGGCCTCTCCTTCGAATTCACAGAGCAGCTCCACCCTTAAAGATACTGTTGCTTCCGACTACGGCCAGGAGAAGGATTCCTCCTCAAGGACTTCAAATGCCGATGAGTCACTACCAAAGACTCGGCCTCAGAAAAAGAACTCCGACGATCTCTCCGCACGTTCTCGTCATCCCCAGTTGTCATCACAAGCAACTTCAAGGTTGGTCTTGAAGACCAATAGCTCTTCGTCCGATACAACTTTCAAGCCATCGGAAAAGGAGCAGTCATCCACTTCTATCCCAAAGATTATACCATCACCCGGTGCTAAAAGTTTGACGACTCAAACGTCGACCGGCGAGGGCCAATCTAAGCAGAATGCTAGCCATGTTCATCCAAAGCTTCCCGATATCGACATCTTGACTGCGCACTTGAATTCAATCAGACAGAATCACAGATGAATATACATTCTTTCCGAATTCTTACAGAACTTGGTTTTTCTCCTATTAGCCACTGTTTGCATTGTTCATATTTATACATGTCCTTGAGGTTACAGAGATGTATCATATAACTTGTAATATTTGTTTATTGATTTGTTTCTTATAAGATCGAAGGTTTGAATTATGATGTCATAAATGAAAAAAAAACTGTATGAGAGAGTAGTCTTATACTAAAAAGTAATATTAAATAAAATTATGTCTTGTACGACATATTTAAATTGGTATATAAACTTTTGAATCTTCTAATTTCATCCTTAAATTCATCTAAATGTATAATTGGTTTTGACTATGGTTTAATATGTTTTTTTTACAAAAATATAATAACATAGCTTGGTCTAACGGGTTTATTAACATGAGATTTAATTAGCATATATCATAATATCAATAGTTTGAGGTGAAATTAAAATGTTCACTAGTTCGAGGATAATTTTGAACGAAGCTAATAGTTTTGGAGATAAAATTTTAACGTTCAACAGTTTGGAGATTTATTTAGAATGAGAGTATAGATTGAGGATGAAATCAGAATGTTTACAAGTTCATGGAAGAATTTAGTCATAAATTGTGGTGCAATTAACTCAGAAAGAAGAGGAAAAAAACATTTACATTTTGGGACAGTTAAACAATGTAAAGAGGGGAAAAAAAGAACGATTACAACGCCGATCTCATCGAATTATTGCAGTACGTAATAACTTCCTTCAAATTCAGGTCACGCTCTTCGGCGTTCATCGCACTGTACGCATTATCCGGCGATGGCGAACCGAAATTCGAGTTCATGGAGGTTATCGCCGCGACAGCGTTCGCCTTTCTCCTCGAGCTCGATGGTGTTATCGGATTGAAACATACGAAAACGTGTTTCATGGCCTTCCAGAAACCTCTACGATCAGTTCTCTTGGACTTTGCCGTAGGTGAAGCAGTGGCAGACATCGGAGAATAATGGTTGTTCGGACACAAAGTGGAGCAATGGACGTTGAGGTTATTGGGGTTTATGTTGTTCGGACACGAAGTGGAAACCTATTACAGGTTTATAGGCTACAAATTGGGCGTTACCATATGTTGTGTTTCGGAGTGAATTATGGGCTGTACCAATTAATGTTCACGTTTTATTCCTTTTTGACAACTATGCTTTCCTTGTACAAATAATCTCGAACTTATACAGATTTATCTTTGAGTCATTGTGTAGTGACCCAATTTTAAAGATTTGAAGACTTAATGGTATAATGGTTGCACTTCAATACCCTTTGAGCCTTTGCTAAGGTCTTCCCAATTGGTTCTCCAACTTCCAACCAGGTCCTCTTAAGTCTCCAAATCATTCAATTGAATCCACATATAAAAAAAATCAAATTCGAGCAAGCAAGTCAATTTTTAAATGATGAGATCGGGTCAAGTTTACGGTAAAAATCTCTGACCTAACCCCGATATAATAGTATAATTCTCTTATAGATTTAGAGATAATTATAATAATATCTCTTTACATATTTAATTGAATAAAAATGAGAATTATATATATATTTTGTGTCTCGTTATATATAAGTTTTTACTCTGAAAATTTAGTTTTGTAAAACCTGCTTAAACCCAGGTTGGATTAGATAACGAATGGAAAAATATAATACTCGAATCGGATTAGAATGACGAAAAATCCCGACCGATACTCATTAACTGATGAGACTTGAACTTAATGACGAGAAAGAGATTTAAGAGTTTTATGATTCTAGATTTAAATTTCATAATGTGAAGGTTTGTCCAAAATTTATTTTAAATAATCATTAGGACTTTATCTTGTAGCAAAATATAAAATATTTTCATCATTGGGCATTGTTTTGAACGCATCATAATCTTTGCTGTTTAAGTTCAAAGGGGAAGTTAAATTTTCATTAACTCGAAATTATTTGAACTGAAAATTAAAATTTAAATCGAAATTTATCGAAATCTGATTTAAATTTTTAATAATCTGTTATGCATCTAAATTTAGCGATTCAAAATAAAACTGAACAAAAAGTTATTATAATCCAGATACTAAAATTGGTTCTCTATGAAAGTAGCAGATGAACCTATGTTCACCTTGTCCCTTGGCCTAGAATTAAACAACTGAGAGATGATATTTGAATTCAAGGTGTATACTGAAAAGATACATGATCTCACCTAAGTATTGCTTTCTCCATCGCCGACTGCTCGGAGTGGAATAGCCGGAGGCGACAACTCCAAGTAGTCGAAATCATCAGTGATTCCAATCTGTTTCAAGATTCGAGAAGCAAACATCTAAGTACACCAAATACTTGCATGAATAAGTCTTAACAACATAAAACTCCCCACGGCAAGCGGATTTCAACCAGAACTAACTCATTGTCAAGGTTGCGCATTTAAGCATTTCTTAACGAATTTGGATTAGAAAACCAAATTTGGGCACCCTAGGGGATTGTTCAAGACAGCAATCAGTATACCTCCTTGTACATGTGTTCAAGCTGCTCTTTGGCTTCAGGAAAGTTGTTTGAGCACCACTGCCTCACAGTGAAGATGTTGTCTGTAAAGATTTCGATCGTCATTGTTAACAAAAATAACAAATATCGCCCCAAATTCTTGAAAATAAACCCAACAAAATTGAAATGAAAGGGAGAAGGAAGAGGAAATCAATAAGTAGGTAAAAAGAAAGTACCTGTCCATCTGTTAGCTGCTCCATGGGCAACCTCAATAGCTTTCTCTGCAAAAAAGACAGTGAGATGGGAGTTTATTCAACTACATCGAACCCTCAAACGATACTGAATCTCATAAAAATAGGGTTGTCGAAACAAACACTAAACTCATTGCTTCAAATGCAGCTGGATCATTATCTGCAAATTGTACCATCTCCTCCTGCACATTTAGACCATATAGGATAAACTCAAACCGTAGGATTCTCTTAAATAGGAAACAAAAAGATAAGAAGTAATCCAACCTTAAGCTCATTGTGTTTCAATTCTATATCCTTTAATTCAGCCAAAGCCTTCTCTCTTTCATCCTGGGAAATGCATAAAATGTCAAGATATTATACACCAACTGTCATCACTGAAAAGAAAACTGAAACCCCAAATCACTAAACAAACTTAAGATACATACAGATTCTTCACGCCCCTTCTTTAGTTCATTACACTGATCAACGAGCTCCGTGTATCGCGTCTTACTGCTTTGGAGGTCCGATTCGAGTTTCCGTTTCACGTTCCTCAACTGTTTCAAAGTTTTACATCAAGATTGATATGATAAGTAACTATGTTAAGATAGAAAGATAATGCTAGAAACAAATACAATGACCTGATTTCCAGCACAGCTAGGAAGGCTCCAAAAGTATACCTAAGAATTTCATCACAAGAGCAATTGATTATATCTAACGAATTCGAGTTACAAATTCTAACAAATACAATAGATTTATACTTACAGATGTTCCGATTTTATCCTTGGAAACGAGATCATCATCGACCAAACTTTGAACAACATCTTTAACTGATTGGGTGATTACCCCTTTCTTGGGACCCAACTTTTCAAGCTCCTTAAGCTAAGCCCATTAGAAGAAAAACAACATGAAATTAATGAAAATGTTCCAAAATGTCTGAAGAAATTGATTGAAAATTCGATATGCTTACGAGGAAGAAGTCTTGAGATTCATAAAATATCTGAAGCATTCTCTCCCTCTTTTCTTCCAACGAAAGACCTCGTTTCTTCGACTGAATCACAGTCGCAAAAAAAGAAGAGTAAAAATCTTGGTAAAAAATTCGGTATTTCCATAGGAAATTGCAAATCCATCAACAAATCTAAAGGATACGACGCTAGATTCAACGGAAATTACAAACCCGTCAACAAATCGAAAGGAGACGACGCTAGATTCAACTAAATCTAATAACTTAATGTTTGGCTGCCGAGAAAATGAAGAAAAGTAGAGAGCAAAATTAGTAGAAGATGAAATCAATTTTACCATGTTCTGACCCAGGGCAGTTCTCACTTGCAAATTGAATCTGGTAATCAGTGGGAAGGGAGTTCGAGATAATACGCCATATAAAGCGTATGCTTCTTTTTGGCGGGAATTTGGCCAAGTTTGCTTAAATACCCTTGCAGCTTTCCATATTTATTCTCTGTCAAAATGGTACAAGAGGTCTTGTAATTTTTTGAAAGAAAAAATCAACGTCACAGTCATATTTTCTCTCTCTTGATATATGATTCTTTATAAGACCATTACTTTTATTTGTTGATTGTTATAGTATTGACGTAATAGTTCATGATATTGATATGTTAGTCAACGGTATTGATGTGGCAGTCCACGACGAGTTATAATATGACGGATAACATGTCAGATGGACTAAATTGGTAACTCAAACATAGTAGATGAATTGTCATGTTAGTACTATAGATCGCCATGTCAACATCATGAACTGTCACATCAGTATTGTAACTGTCAAAATGACAAAAAAACGTTGGTCAAATGACCACATTGAGTTTGTTTTCTGAGTTGGAGTGTCACAATGAGAGAAAAAAATAATATGATATCTACATTAGTTTTTTCCCCAAAAGTACAAGGACTTTTGATGTCTTTTTGCCTTATTCTCTTGGTTTTTTCATGTTCGAATTAGAATAAGGGTTAAATTGATAGAATATATAAGATTTGGAGAACAAATGATAGATTTTAATTTGGGTAGATATATGTTTTGGTACTTGATTTTAAGATTCAATTCGGTACCTAAATTTTGTTTTGGTCCAATTAAATATATGAATTTTGAATTCATGAGTCAAATATTAAAAGTTTGAATTTTAACATCGCCCCCATAATAAATATATGTATATTTGAATTAATCTATCGATAGACCAAATAACAACAAAAATAAAATGTTATTTAGATTATTATAAATATGTCCCCCCAACTTGAGGGAAATTTGAAAAGAAAAAACATGTAGAGGAAGAAGACGCAGTCTCTCTGCTCAAACCAACAGCCCAACCAAATGGTTATCATTGCAGTACAAAAGGTGAAAATTGTAGGGTTTATTTTTATTAAGAAGATGAATCTTGTTCATCACGGCAAAGCTCCTTCCTTAGTTTACTCGAGAAAAGCCGACAAGCATCCATGCTAAGATCGATGGCAGCCGAGAGTGCAATAAACAATGCGGCATCACCCATGCATGTGACATGTTGTATCCCAACTTGTACCGTAGGCTTGCTAACTTTGCCTTCGCCTTCGACGGTCGAACCCATGACGAATCCTTTAACCGGTGATCTCGAACTTGTCGATGTCGAAAAACTCGGTCCCGATACTTTCTTGTCAATACAAAACAATCCACCTTTTTTCACACTCATTGTAGCTTCGGCAATAGGGATACCGTTACTAGGTCCACTCTCGGGGACGAGCTCGAATTTATAGCCTAACCCTTCGACCGGACCCCTTTCTCGCCATGCCTTGAGACGACCCCAAGGTTTCCAACTGCTAACGGAGAAGCCATGAGGGCTTAGTATTAGCCATGCCCCGGGGTTTGATCTCGAGACACGATCGGTTCCGGGGGAGGGCACGAATGGGGTGATCATCGAGGCGGCCGCGACAGGAGATCCCGATAGGTCGTATATCATTATCATCCATCCTTTCCTTTCCCTTCGTTGCTTCTCCTTTTCTCTTGCTAATGTTCTCATCCATCCGCTGTTCTTGTTGGAAAAATCCGGTGGGAGTGATCTAATTACCCTTGAAAGCAATCTATTAATACCTTATATAAAATATATTTAAAAAAGGGTCAATCTATGGTTTTGGTCCCTCTACTATAGTTTTGAGTAGGCTGGAGGGAGCAAAATCATAATTTGACCATAGAAAAATGAAAAAGCTAAACATTAAAATGTTTGAGCACATGGAAGAGAATCCACGGTGGTTGCATTTTGATATAGGGAGAGATTTTAGCATGAGACTTTATTCTCAAATTGAGTTCATTTTTCTATTAAACTAGTTCCATCATCAACCATTTGTATTAAGTGGTCAACATACAATTTTAATCCCTCTACATACTTAAATTCATGAGATAGTTCTTATACTTTTATTTAAAGTAATTTAATCAGAATATTGTCTGATAACATTATCTTATGGTGATATATTAGCGTTACTGTTATTTAATGATCAAAATGAAATTAAAATGTAACACTAGGTATGATTTAATGACCAAAATGAAACCATGAAAATACTCAGATGACTAAATACATAGTTTACTCTTGTTTTTTTTGGAAGTAAAACACTGTAAAATGAACCATTATGGTATTGTAAAAGGAAAACATAGGAACTCGATCACTTACCGAGATCTTGACCGGTCGGCGCTAAACTTGCAACTGAAAACCGGTTGTCTAATATTGCCTTGGATTTGAAACACGACCGGACTACATTCCGGTTCTCCGCCGAACTGGAAAACGAACCGGGGATCGGGTTCGGCTCTGACCATTAAATGAAGCTTAGCGGTGGGTTTGTCCTGATCGTTGCCGACTTTCATCCACCCATCTTGGAACACCGCCGGTCTGGTTTGCGACACACCCAAGTCGACGTTAACCTGAACCGAACCCACCAGCTTCCCACTACTGACGCCGCAGGTTCGACCCACGCGGCCGGTGTAGACTTCGACACAGAGAGTCAAGGGCTTCCCGGAGAGACGGCGGATCATTTGGGCATCAAGGTGGAAGCCGGCTGCGGAGGTGGACGATTCAGGCGGCGAATCACCGGCGCCGTTGCTGAGGGGCATCAAAGCTGTTTGGGACGGGAAGTTCTTGAGCCTCAGCTTGCAGAAACACGGCGTCGTCTTCGGGTAAACGCCGGCACCGGCTGGTTTCGTGGGCTGCGGGAGTTTCAAAGCTAATGATTCGACTATCAAACGAACGAACGGACATGGATCCATCGTAAACAACGATGGCAACAGGAGTGAACGTCGTTGACAGTGAAGACTATTGAATTCTCGAAGTTGGCTCTAATGGAGGCAGTGAAGAACTCATTGTCGGTTTTGACCCAAAGGATTTGCAGTGTTTAATGGTGTTTATATAAGCTGTTTTTGGCTCTGCAATTTGCTGAAAGATTATATTGCAAGTGAAAGGCTTAATATGGTTATACAACTAAGAAAAATAAGCTTGATTTGGTAATTATCTTTTTTATTTTTTTGGTATAATAGTTGTATCTTCAATGGAGATTAACATTGCATGTGTTTATTATGAGGTCAATTATCTCTAGGGATGTGCATGAATCCGAACTCAACAGGTTTTCGACCCAACCCGATTGGGTCAATTTTTTTTTAAATCGAGTTTAGGTTTAGTTTTTTTTAAGATTATGTTCGGGTCGGCTTAGTTTTTGGGTGAAAAATAACATATCCGATCCAACCCAAAAATTATAATTTTATATTTAGAGATAATTACAAAAATACCCTTGTATATATTATTTTCTGTCAATTAAATCTCTATTTTTATTGAATAAAAATAATATTTTTTATAAATATATTATTTCGAGTCGGATTGAGTAAAATTCAGATTTTATCTCAAAAACCGAATCGGATTCAGATTGGGTGAAAGGTGTATATTTTCAGGTCGGATAGAAGATTTGTAATTTTTGATTTGGGTGGATTGAAAATCAGATCCGACCCGACCCATCCATGTCCATCCCTAATAATCTCAATCCACTTTATTTCAATTATAATATTATAATTTTAATATTTTTCAATTCTAACTTTCGTTAAATCCTATAAGGTCTTTTATCAAAAAATCTTTATTTTGTTTGGAATCAAATTATAACGTGTATGTTACATAATTTGTTAATCTTAAACAAATCATTACAAGACCGAAACAATTTTATGATCAAATAAATCATAATATGAACGCAACTTATTTTTTAAAATGTATACATAATAATGCAAATATTCGTAATGATTAGTTTTGGTTGGCTGATTATTGATGAATGTAATAGAAAAAAAAACTCTTACAAAAAGTCTTCTAATTTAAAATTAATAGTAAATGAAATTATTTGTCACTTCAGTTTCTTTTCATTAACTAAAATCTCGATAAATAAATTTCACTTTTAAATCCAAAATAAACATTAAATAATTATGTATATTTAATTTCATAATTTTTCATATGTTATACCAACTAAAATATTAAAATTAAAATTTACAATTTCACAAAAAATTAAAATTGTAAAATGAAAATACCTAATTATATCAAGCATTGATAATATTTAAGAATAATTCAAATAATAAATTTTAAATAATATCTTAAAATTATTTTAAAATATTGATTTAATCATTTTTTTTATAAAATATTGATTTAATTATTCATCTATTTTTATGGAGTAATATTTAAATTATCTATAATATTTAAAGTTTCGGAAAAATTGAGTAGAAAATGTGGGATCCATGACAGCTGGGAAAAGGTTGTCACCACGTTGTAATAAAAGTGGGAGAGGTATGCTGAGCTGGACATGGACTGGGGTGGCAGAAATTTTATCTTCTCCAATTCCACATATCATATCATCTGCTGACGTGGCATTCTCTGGGGCCTCTTCGTCTTCAACCCCGCCGTTTTCGGTCGGTTACACTTTTGGCGGCGCCACAAGATTTATTATTGTTTTTTTTGTATAATTTTAAGTCCCTCTACTTTTCGAAAGTTAATATTTAATACAAATATGACCCTCAATGTGTATACTGTTTTAAAGCAATGATGTAGTTTTCATTTTTCTTTTAAATACAGTCCTAAGAAATGATGGATATATAAATGTATTATTGTTAAATTTTTTTAAAATATTATTCATTGTACGACAGAATAATAAGAAAAAATTTACGTCATCATTTAATAATAACAGTTCATACACTAATTAAAATAGAGAAATCAAATATAAAATTCCAATACAATAGAGGGATTAAAATCATAATTAGACCCTTGTTTTCCGTTCATCCGCCTGTGTTGTTTACAAGGATTTGATTTGGATTAGCAATGAGGATAAGACTCCGACAGATATCACTATTCCGACAACTTTTGTCTTTTTCTTTTTTTCTTATTGTAATTAAAACAAAATTTCATTTTGTTAAGGGAAGACGGATTTTTTTATCAATTATATTAATGTAAATAATTACTTTAATAATTATCCATTTATGTAGTAAAATAAGATTTTAAATTACGTTTTTTTGGGTACAATGGATAGGAGAAAACGACAACGTTTTCATGTTACAATCTTAGGGTTTCTTTCCCTCGTTTATCTTCTTCAATCAATTGTAAATCTTCGTTCGACGAATCCTTCAATCTTCTCTCGCCTTTAATCATCCCTTAAGGCTATTTTGACGAGACAACCCCTCACCAAGTGTCTCTGTTGCAGGTCCTCTATCTCGAACTCTTCACTATTAATGGCGTCAATCACTTCCTTGGCGTCCGATTCAACTACTAAGTTCTTTAAACCCAGGTCCTTTGCAATTTCTAAACCTAGTTTAATTCCCCAAATTTCTGCTGTAAGACTGTTTGTCTGATCAAAGTTTGTTGTATAACCATATGTCCACTCCCCTTTATCATCACGGAAGAGACCTCTTGCAAGCTCCATCGAAGTTTAAAACGTAAAAACCCTCTGGCGGTTTGATCCATCTGACCCATCTAGGTTCTCGGGTATAATCTTCTCTCTTCGATTCATAAGCTTTTTTCAAATCATGCACGAGATTGCGGCCATATTGAAATATATGGTTTGGGTTTCTGATCTTACCGTTGAAAGTAGCTTCATTTTTCCCTTCCAAATACCCCATATTGTAGTGGTAAAAACGGTGTTCCTTCTTATTCCTTCAGAGTTTATACTTTTCGAACAACTATTACTTTTAACCCAGCTGACAAAATCTGCTGCATCAATCGGTTTCATTCTGTAGTAACGCTCAATCTCTTCCCGAACAGATTTAGTTATTTTACAGTGGCGCAAAATGTGTTCTAAGGATTCCACAACCCCCGACATTCCCTGCAGTCGGCTTCGTTAGTCATATTTTTCCTCATCTGAATCTCATTAGTATTCAACCTATTCAAGCAGCATAACCATATAAAAAATCTAATACGATCTGTAGTGTTTATCTTCCAAATTCACCCAAAGTTCTGATTACTACCTCCTTCCTCGCTTCTGTTCACAATATCCTTGAAAGTAGATTTAACAGTGAATTTGCCATCTTTAGTAAAACCCCATTGAGCTGTGTCTTGTCTTTGGTCCGAATTATTCCTCAGAATTTCGATTTCTCGAATCTGATTTAGGGTTTCTTCAGAAATGATGTTTCTAACCTCCTGAATATCCCACTCATGATCTGTAGATATGTATTGAACTACTTTTTCAAGTCTATCAGAGGTATCAATATTGGGATATTGTTTTCTCGAGACTCCTTTCCAAGCCACCAATCATGCCAGAAGCTAATCCGCTCGCCCGTGTTAATTTTTCATTGACAACCTTTCTTGATAATGAGCCAGGCTTTTAGCGTCTTTCCAAGTAGAGGAATTATAATTCTTAGCTTCACATTCCATGAAAGAAACTTGCTTTAGGTACTTTTCTCAAAAAGCTTTACACCATAATGACTCATGCTCGATAAAAAGACGACATCCATTATTAGCCATTAAAGCCAAATTCATGTCTCTCGCTCCCCCTTCCTTCTTTGCTTTACACACCTCGTTCCAATTAACCAAGTGACTGTGTTTATAATCTACATCTCATCCCCATAAAAAATTCCTATTTAGCTTGTCCAGCTTTTTCCAAACTGTCATGGGAAGAAGAGTTGTTTGCATCGTGTGAACAGGAATGGCTGTCGTGATCGTTTGTATCAGCTTACGTCGCCCAACCATTGAAAGAACTTTCCCTTTCCATCCAACTAATTTGCTCATTACCTTCTCCAAAAGATGTGCATAGGCAGTTGAATTATGTTTATTTGTGAATTATGTTTAGGCATTCCTTGGCTTTGCTAACTTGCATTGCATTAGCCTCCATGAATAGAAGAAGATCATCTGCAAAAAATATATGGCTAACATTAGTGCATCTTCTAGATAATTTTTATGCTTTTCAATCACCATTGTCAATTTCCTCCATAATAATATGAGAGACTCTTTCCATTATTAAAATGAGTAAATAAGGCAATAAGGGATCTCCATGTCTAAGTCCTTGACCAGGTAAGAAATTGTAACGCCCCAAATTTCATTAGGAGTTTTGGGTATATTCAATTTGGACCTTTGGATGATTTCCTTTAACCCATGATGCTTTGGACCCAAATAGATTTGATTTGGGCTTTGGATGAGCCCAACAAGCCTTAAAAAGGGTGTTTTTAACCTTAAACCAACCGTGGAAGGACTAGGTGGGTGATTAACCCATTTATTTAAATCAAAGCTAATTTTCATTGAATTTTGATGATATCACGTCTGCCACTCTTCCTCTTTTCACCCATTGTTTGTATCTTCTTCCTCATCTTCAAGAAATCAAGCAAAAGCCTTAACTTTAAGAAATCCAAGCAACCCTTGTGAATCTGAAGTAAGATTCACAATCTACAACTCCTAAGCTTTCATTCAAACCCTTTTTACAAGATTTGACTTAGTATCCATGAAAATAGGTTTAAGTGGGGTTTAAGAAACTTGAGGTTTTAATCTGTTGTTGAGAGAGTTTTGAGTTATATGATCGTTTCTAACATCCTCCTAAGTTCCAAAGTGAGATAATAACCCATCTGCTTTGTTCTAATTAGTTCAAGAGAAGGGTTAGAGCAATAAGGCAAGGGGCAATGAGAAACTCACTCTTGGGTGATTCAAGAACTTTTTCAGTTGCTTGGACTTAAGGTAACACGATTCTAACTTGACCATACCACATATAGGTCATTTTATGTGCATTTATGGTATGTTTTGTTCATGGAAGTACGCTAGAGTAATTTCATGGTAAACTTCGTATTTGTTGTTTGTAAGCATGAAAGTTAGTACCTTTTGACCTCTAAGACCTCAAATAAGACTTTAAAAACATTTACTAGTCTTAGAGGA